ACTCAAACTTGACCATCCCCACCCCTAGGCCGGGTGGCCCGGGCCGGCCGAAGCGGCACGGCCTACTCCTTGGTGGCCCCGGAAGAAGTCCCCTACCTGCTGGACCTGCACCTGTTCCTGGGCCGCTCCCTGACCCTCGCCCGCCCCCACGAGGAGCCCGCAGGTGAGTGGAGGTCATCGGGCGGGGGCGCAGCCCGGCCCCGGCTCCGGGAGGCTGTGGGACTTGATGTGAGCCGGGTTCCCGGGGCCCACAGAGGCGATGCTGAGCTGTGGCTCCCTGACTCGCGGCAGCCCCGCCCCTCTGCGCCTCTCACCTGTCCAGCCCCTACAGGGGTCCAACTTGAGAGCCCACTGGGCTGGGTCTGTAGGGGGCTTGAGAGCCTGTCAGCAGGTTTGTAGGGGGCGTGACGTCGCGCTCAGCGCAGTGCCGGGCGCATGGTGAGCCTCGCTGGCGCCTTGCTCTCACGGTGCCGGTAGGGTGTCATTAACCCGCAGCCAGCGCCGGCGGCTCCTGGGTTGAGCCCTGTCTTGCCGGCGCAGGTGATGGTCAGGGTGCAGTTTAACTTGCTGTAGCCTCGATTTGCTTTTTTTTTTCTTTTTTAATTAATTTATTAATTTGAAAGACTTAGGCAGAAGCAGAGAGAGAGATGGTCCACCCCCTGGCTCACTCCCCGGATTTCGTCAGTGGTCAGGGTTGGGCCAGGCCGGGGCCAGGAGCCAGGAGCTTCCCTGGGATCTCCCCCGTGGGCGGCAGGGGCTCGACCCCGCTGTCTGATTAGGGATGCCTCCCCCATCATCTTGGCCGGGAGGTGTCGGGGGCAGCCTGTGACCGGGCCCATGCCGGCCGCAGGTCCCGCGGGCGGCGACGGCGTGCTGGGCCGGGTGCCGCAGAGCGTGGTGGACGACGAGGACGGCAGCCTGCGCCACACCCTGGAGGCGCGGCTGGAGCTGCGGGGCCTGGGCCGCGTGGCTGACAATGCGCAGCGCCAGTACGTGCGCTCGCGCCCCGCGGCCTCCCCCGCGTCCATCAAGAGGGCCAAGGAGCTGGAGCTGGCGACACTGGGCCTGCACCCCCTGTTCAGTGAGTGTGGCGGGCAGCGGGGGCGGGCGGTGGGGATGGTGGGCTCCGCGGCTGCCCCGGCCTCACGCTGCCCTCTTGCAGGCTCCCGCTTCGAGCAGGAGGAGCTGCAGCGGCTGCAGCTGGTGGACGGCATCAAGCAGTACCGCACCCGGGCGGTGAGTGGCGCAGGCGGGGATCTCCCCTCACCTGCAGATGGGTAAACTGAGGCACGGGCGAGGTGCCCTCGGCCTGAGAGAGGCTGCAGAGCCGAGGCAAGGTGGGAGTGGCCAGGCGCTGGGGAGCACCGTGGTCAGCGCCATTGGGGCTCCGAGCCCCGGCCTTTCCCAGCTGTGTGGCCACGTGCGGGTTGCTCACGCTCCCCGGGCCTCCCTCTCATTGTCAGCTGCAGAGCACAGAGGGCCTGGGGGAGGGGTGGCACCAGAGAGCTCCTGGCGGGGGCCAGCGCAGAACCTGATGACCCCCCCACAGACCATCTTTGAGATCAACGCCTCCAGCCGGGACCCGAGCAGCCAAGTGATGCGCGCCAAGCGGCAGAAGGACCACAAGGCCATCGCCAGCTTCCAGCAGGGGCGGCAGGAGCGCCAGGAAGGGCCGGCCGGCCCCGTCGCCAGCTGCCCGGCCCCGCAGCAGGAGCTGCAGGAGGAGGAGGAAGGTGTGGAGGTAAGGCCAGCCCAGCTCCCCGCGGAGCCCAGACCCCGGGCAGGGTGGGCCAGCCCAGCTCCCCCCGCGGCTGTGCTCGGGCAGAGGGTGGGGTGGGTGCAGGGTTCGAATCCCGCTTGGCTGCTCATCAAGCGGAGGCTGAGCCCCGGCCTCCTCACCTGCAGCCTGGGGCATGGCTCACGGTCACTGTCCCTGGGCCAGGGGTGTTTGGGATTCGGAGCCTGCGGGGCACGGGCACCACGTGTGAGGCAGCCTGGCCCCTGCCGTGGGACACCCGAGGCCTGTGGCAGCGAGACATGCGTGGCCCCACCCACAGCCGCAGCAGAACGCTGTGCCCTGGGGCGTTGCAGCCCAGGGGCTTTGGCTCTGCCCCCTGGGCCCCCGGACCCCCAGCGGGGTCATTGTCTGTCTCAGTGCAGACATGGGAAGGGGCAGAGGAGGGCCCTGGGCAGGGGGTCAGGCTGCCAGGGTCCCTGGGCGCTGGCGGTGAGCTCCAGCGGCACAGCCGCCTTTCCTGTTGCATTTGGCGGAGGGTTTGGCAGCCACGAAGGACAGCTGGAAGCGCTGGCCCAGTGCACGTCGCGTAGCGGGAGCCCAGGCCTGCGGAGGGTCACAGCCTGGGGGACTGAAGTGAGCTGGGGTGCAGGCCCACCACCTGCCGAGTCTGGGGGGCCCACAGCACCGCCCAGTCAGTGCCAGGCCTGCCCAGGGCTGCGGCTGTGACAGTCTCCGTCTGCCAGGCTGTCTTCACGGAGGTCGTGGGCCGGAAGCGGCGGCGGCCAGGACCCGACAGGGGAGCCAAGAGACGGAGGGAGGAGGCCCGGCAGCGAGACCAGGAGTTCTACGTCCCCTACCGGCCCAAAGACTTCGACAGCGAGCGGGGGTGAGTGGCCAGCGGGGCCCGGGGACAGCGGGGGCTGCTGGGCCCCACCCGCCCGCCTGCCCATCACATCTGCCCCTCCCCGTGCAGCCTGAGTGTCGGCGGGGCCGGGGGCGCCTTCGAGCAGCAGGTGGCTGGTGCTGTCCTGGACCTGATGGGGGACGAAGCACAGAGTCTGACCCGGGGCCAGCAGAGGCTCAGGTGGTGAGTGCGGTGCTGCCCCTGGAGGTGATGGGCGCAGCAGGGGGCCTGACCCCTTCTGTCCTGCTGCTGCCCGGGCTGTCCAGACAGGCCCGGGGGGCCCGGAGTGGGGGAGTGAGGAGGTGGGGCGGGCCTGCATCCCTCGCGGAGGCCCTGGGCTGCAGGCTCAGGTGAGCAGGGGCCGGGACCGGGGGGCGTTTGCTGAGCGCCTACTGCGCGGCCCAGGGCGGTGGCGGTGCCGCTCCCCCTCCCCGCCAGTCTCCCCAGCTGCCTCTCCCGCAGGGACCGGAAGAAGAAGCGGTTTGTGGGCCAGTCGGGGCAGGAGGACAAGAAGAAGATCAAGACCGAGAGTGGCCGCTACATCAGCAGCTCCTACAAGCGGGACCTGTATCCAGGAGGGCATGGCTGGGGGCGGGGCCTAGGCTTCTGCAGCAGCTCCCATAGGTGGCACTGGGGGGCGGGTGCAGCCCTGGGGGGGCGTGGCCAAACACAGTGGCCAAGAGCTGTCCGGAGGGCCTGTGTCTCCTGGACAGGGTGAGGGGCCTCCGAGGGCACCACCACGCGGCCCAGAGCCCAGAGTGTCCTTAGCGCGGTTTGCCAGCTACCAGAAGTGGAAACAGAAACAGAAAATTGATGATCGCGACTCCGAGGACGAAGGGGCAGCTGACCGGAGAGGCCCTGAGCGAACGGGCAGGAAGCGAGGCCGCGGCCAAGGTGAGAGCGGGTTAGGGGACGGGGCTGCCCCGGAGCTGAGCCCGTGGGGTAGACACTGCCCTCCTGGTCCGGCCTGGGCCACTCAGCCGCTCACAGTCTGGGCGGAGCCAGTGCGTGACCCAAGGTGCGGGGCCGCGGGGTGGGCCGGGCCTTTGGCAGACTGAGCAGACTGGAGCTTGGGTGCTGCCCACTTGCTGAGTGAGGACAGCCCACACGTGACAAGTGGGGGAGGCGGGGCGTGGCAAGAAGACTGAACACGCCCATTTTACAGGTGGGGACAGGTGGCCTGCAGGAGCAGTAATGGAGCCCGGGCTCCTCCTCCCACTTGGGGTCTCCTCCGGGGAGGGGCTGGGACTGTGTCCAGCCTCTCTGGGGTGACCTTAGCCCCTGTTTGTCTCCGCACCCCCGGGGCCGGCCACCGCCTCTCCCCTGCGTCCCTGCATCCTGCAGCCCGGGGCCTGCTCCGTGTCCGTGTCCCCGGCTCCTACTTCCTCTCCCTCTCGCTGCCCGCCTCCTCCCTCCCTCCCTCCCAGCTCCCTGTTCCTGTCTGTGACACTCATTATGCAGGGCCACTGGGCCACAGTGGACAGGAGCAGGGCCCGACGCAGTGGGGGCTTCTGGGAGCAGGAGACACCGGGCCCGCCCAAAGCCTCAGCCCCGCATCCCTGTCCCGGCAGGTGCATCCCAGCCCCGCGCCCCTGGCGGCCCTGCAGGCCGCGTGCGCTCCGAGCTCAAGACCAAGCAGCAGATCCTGAAGCAGCGGCGCCGCGCCCAGAAGATGCGCTTCCTGCAGCGCGGGGGCCTCAAGCAGCTCTCGGCCCGCAACCGGCGCCGCGCCCAGGAGCTGCGGCAGGGCGCCTTCGGCCGCGGCGCCCCCTCCAAGAAGGGCAAGATGCGGAAGAGGATGTAGGGATGCGGCCTCGCCCGCGCCTGCCCGGCCCTGGCGCCGGGGCAGCTCCCTGCAGGAGCAGGAGGCCGGGGTGGCCGCTGGAGACCGGACTGGGGTCCTGGCGGGCGCGCGGGAGCTTCCCCGGCAACGCCGGCGGCTGCTTCCTCGCGCTCAGGGCTCGCCCTGCGTTCTCGCCCCCGGTGGAGTTGACGTGGAATAAACCTGTCCCCAGCGCCTCTGCCGTGCCGGCCACTCGGGGTGGGAGGGTAGCCCAGCTGTGTGCGCGCTGGGTGCCTGGCTGGGGTCTCCTGTGAGCAGACGAGGCCCGGAGGCTCCGGGGTGAGCGAGTCCACGCAGCGGGCAGCAGAGGGTCGCCAGCTGCTCCACGCTCCTCCTGCTCCAGGGCCTGCCTGTCGCCCCCGCCCTGGTGGCTTCCAAGATGGTCAAGGGCGGCCGTCCCCGGCTGGGTCCCCAGCAGCACAGGCGTCTCTGGTCCTGTTCATTCTGCTTTATTTCCCAGCACTCATCACGAGCTGGCCGTGTGCTGGCGCCCTTACAGCCCCCTGCAAGTCTCGGTTGCTGCTGTCTGTTTGCGAGGCAGGAGGTCCCGTCCTCTGATCCACTGCCCCCGAGCCTGCGGCGGCTCCAGCTGGGGCCAGAGCAGAGCTGGGACCATGCAGGCCCCCAGCTTGGCTGCAGGAGGCGATCCCCGGAGCCCTCAGCTCTGCCTCCCAGGGTCTGCGTCAGCGGGAGGCTGGGTCAGGGGCGCAGGCGGAACCCGGGCACGTCAGTGTGGGGTGTGGGCATAGTGACCCATACCGCCAGCCACACGCACCCAGGTGCTGGGTGATGCCGGCCCCCGCCCACCCCGGGAGGGAAGGCCTGGCCCCCGCCACCAGCACTCAAGCGCCCCACGCTAGCCCCTCGCCTCTCCATGCTCCGGCCTGCAGTGCCCCCCATGCCAGCCCCACCCCATCTCTGATGAGGCTCCAGGGACCCCAGAGGAGCCACTTTGCCCTGGCGCCCTGGGAAATGCAGGCTCCGCTCACCTGGGTGAGGGCCAGCAGGCAGGGGCCGCGGCTCCGTGTGTGCCAGGCTGGCCAGCGTGGCTGTGAGGCCTAAGATGAACAGTTTCACCTGGGGACCGGCACGGCTGAGTCACACTCAGCCCCTGGCCCCCAGTCCCCGGGAGGTGGCACAGCAGGGTCAGGGTCGAAGACCCCGTCAAAGGCACAGCGACCACGCCAGACCACACCAGCTCCCTGAGGTGGCTGCAGGCAGATGCAGGCCACACCTCTGGGCACCCTCCCTGTGTCACGCCAGTTAGGGGGTGGGGCCTGTCGCTCAGTCTGTGACCCCTCTCCCTGGCTGCCCTGCTTTGGTGAACCCACTGGCTGACGTGAACTTGAGCGCCCACGGCCCGCTGCCGAGCCGCAGGGGTGAGTGCACCCGTAGCTCCAGCAGCAGTGGATCAAGTTCAGTGGCCAGGCCAGGCCTGTGGCCCGCAGGGGGCCAGGGAGTGTTGGGGGCGGGGCTCGAGGCGGAGCCCCTCTCGCCACGCCTTTCTCCTTGGTGTGGGCAGAGGGTTGAATGGCGGGGGACTGCCTTGCCTACTACATGCAGCCTGCGCCGGTCCTGGGGTCGGCTTGTGCCCCATGGGGTACCCGGGCCACACCTGGGCGGGCAGTGGCGTCGAGGAACACGACCAACCCAGGGAGCGGCTCAAAGGCGGGTTCGGGTGATGGGGACTCTGGCAGTTAGTGCAGGACGGGAAGGGGGCTGGGTGGGGGAGGTGGGTGCCTCCTCCCTTTTCCCTTCACATCTCTAAGGGGCCCTGCTTCTAGAAACAGCGCCCGTGTCTGGAGTCTGGAAGCCCCTCCCTCCGGCACCAGCCCGTGCCACGTGTCCCACAGCCTTCAGGACGATAGCACCCAGGCCTGTGGTGACACTTGGTGGCACCGTCTGGTACAGGAAGAAGGGCCACGCACAACTGCACCTCCCACCCCTCAGGGGAGCAGGGTGTCGGCGGCAATGGCAGGGAGCCCCAGCCTCGGGCGCCACCACTCGCTGGCACTGTCTGATCCGAGGAGAGGGGAGGGGCTGGGCCCGAACAGGCAGTGCTGGTGCCATCCTGGGCGCGAGACCCGAGGCGGGGTGCGGCTTTCTGGGAGCCATGAACAGACCACAAACCCTGGGCTCTGGAGCAAGGGCTCTGAGCACTGCGGGCCCAGAGTGGCCCAGAGGAGGCGCCATCTGTGTCCCAGGGCTGCGGGTGACGTGGAAGGGGCCTCACCTGCTCCAGCTGCCCCTCGGTGTCCTCAATGTCCAGGGCGGGCGGCCGCCTCTGGTGCTGGCACACACGCTGGAACAGGTCCAGCGCCGCCATCCTGGCGCGGCCCAGGAGCAGGGTCTTCTCGGCTGCCGTGTTCTGGATCCGGACCCACTTGGATTCCTGGGGAACCCCCAACCCGGCTCCCAACTAAGATAAGAACGGACTCCCGGCGAGCGGGACCCAGGGTGCAGACGGGTGGACCGCGCGCCAGCTGATGCCGCCACCCCAGCGAAGCGCTCTCTGACGCCTCGGTCCCCAGCCCCCGCCGTACCCACTGCAGCGTGCGCTCCCGCGCCGCCTCCAGCTGCTCCCGCAGCTGCGCCCGCCGCTGGCCCAGCCGCAGCAGCTCGTCCTGCCAGGCGTCCCGCAGCCGCTGCAGCCGCGCCCGGGCGGCCTCCAGCTCGGCCAGCCGCTCCCGCTCCGCGAGCCGCAGCGCCGCCTGCGAGTCGGCCAGGCCGTCCCAGCGCGCCACCAGCTCGGGAACCTCCTGGAACTGCGGAGGGCGCCCGGGACCATCCTGCAGTCCCCGCCCCAGCCCCCGGCCGGCCGGCGTCCCACCCAGCGCCGCCTCCGTGCGCCCAACTGCAACATGGGCGCGCCACCCGGCGCCCACTGAAGCCCTACTCCCACCCTCCCCCAGCTCGCGGGGAAGCCTTCCCAAGCCCACTACCCCGGTGAGCACCGGCTCACCGACGCCTCCAACGGATGTCTGCTTCCGCCCCCGCTCGCCTAACCGCACCTTTCTGAAACCCCTCGATTTCTCCACCGGTAAAATGGGTCAACATGAGCGCCCATTCCGTGGGGCTGTGGGGGAGGGTTCAAAACAGAACAGAACGTGCCAAGTGGTGGTTCTTGGCATCCAGTCGGCGCTCCTGACTGCCGCCCGGCGCTCACCTCCGGCAGATGCTCCAACACCTTCCCCAGCAGGTGCGCGCAGGGCTCCAGGCGCTGCAGCCGGCGCTGCAGCCGCTCCCGCTCCCCACGCAGCTCCTCCAGCTGGGCCCGCAGCCGCAGCGCCTCCGCCTCCCGGCGGCCCGCCTGGAGCCGCTCCTGCGCCGCCCTCTGCAGCGCGCGACGGCGCCGGGCCTCGGCCTCCTGGGCAGTGGGGTGGGGAGGAAGCGAACTCAGGCCGCCGGAGCTGGCAGCGCTGGCTGCCTGCAAACTTCCGCGGCTTTGCCAGGCCGAGCCCTGGTGGTCCGCGGGCCGCGGTCGGCCAGACGCTCAGGGCCTTGCTCCGGCAGTGCTCCGGGGATTCCGCTCCCAGGGCCGGCCTTCCCGGCCGCACCTGCCTGCAGGAACTGGTCGGAGCGCACCAAGGACGCCTTCAGCGCCTGCTCCCTCTGCTCCAGCTGTTCACGGCGCTGCTCCAGGGCCGCCATCCTGGTCTGGAACTCCTGCAGGAGAGGGGCGTGGGCGCGCTGTGTGCATTTAGGGCGTCAAGTGCTTTCTCCCCGTAGCCACCACGCTCAGCCCCTCCAAAGTACGGTTCCTGGTCCCCGAGCCGCTTCCCACTCCAGTCCACTGTGGCTCCCACCATCCCCGGTCACTCGCGTGCCTTCCCGTAGCCCACAGACGTCCGTGTTCCTGTCTGCTGGCCTCGTCTTCCGGTGCATCCTGGCTCTCTCTCCCAGCCACTCGACACCTGCCCTGCGGTCTTTGCGCACGATCTTCCCTCTGCCTGTTTCCCACTTCTCACCCTGTCCCCCTTTGCTGGGAAGGCCAATTTGCCCTTTTCAGCAATTCCCGACACTTCCTCTAGGAAGCCCTCCTTGACTGTCCATCCCTGTGTGGAAGTAGGGGCTCACTCACTCTGGGCTCCCAGGGGGCTGCCCAGTGCTCCTCACACAGCGGTCACCACCTGGACACCTGTTTTCCTCTCTGGACTGTGAACCCCCGAGGGCACCCCAGGCCCCAATGTGCTGCCCGCACCTTCATTTATTGCGTAGTGCATACAAATGTCTTGGCACCGGCTGCTGACCCCATCTGACAGCTGGGGGACTCGGGGCTCCGCGGGGTGCCATGGCTTGTCTCAGACCCCGGGACAGCATGCCCCACCCCACTGCTCACCACCTCTGCTTGAGGCTCACCTCCCTGTGGTCCTGCAGGCTCCGGTCCGCGTCCGCAAGCTCCCGCCTCTTCTCCAGGAGTCGCAGTGCTGGCGGGAAACGATGCACGCTGGGCTCCAGCATCTTCCTGGAGGGGCTGCGGGGGGGGGGGTGGGAACGAGGGAGTCAGTACCACCTGGAGGGCCCCCAGGAGGCAGCTACTGGCTTGGGAATTCTTCCTTCCGTCAACAAAGTGTGCTGAGCCGCGGCTCTGTGCAGAAGACTGATGAGGACCCCCAGGAGCCGGTGTTCTGCTGGGAGCCTCAGAAAATCAGGCCAATAAATAATGCTTGGATTTGATTGGCACCGTGATGGAAGACTGCTTGGACCGCAGGAATGCCTCGATGTGGAGGTGACACGGGAACGGGACCTGGACAGGAAGAGGGAGCCGCCCAGACGGTCACTCCAGGGACCAGAATCTCAGCCGCAGAGCCAGCTGGGACCTGGAGGGAAGCAGCGGCCAGGAGGGAGTGCAGCTGGAGCAACGGGCGGGGGGTGAGAGTGATGGCAATGGGGGGCTTTGACCTTGACTCTGAGGGAGGCAGCAACTATGCGAGGGGGGTTGGGAGGAGCAGGGGCCCCCAGCCGCTGGGAGGAAGGAGCCCAAGGTGACCCCGATGCCTCTGCGGGAGTGGCCAGGAGGTGGCGCTCCGAGCTCTCAGGGGAGGAGAGGAGCAGAAGGGACCGAGTAAGGTCTCTCTCCCCAGGGACTGTGCACCCATTTCACAGCTGCCGAGACTGAGGTTGAGGCCCGCTGCACCTCGCAGTGCTGAGCTCACAGCAGGACACACATCCTGCCTGCTCTCCTCCCCAGGGGCAGGCCGTGTGTGTGTGTGTGTGTGTGTGTCTGTCTATGTGTGTCTGTGTCTGTGTGTGTCTGTATCCATGTGTATCCATGTCTGTGTGTGTCTATCTATGTGTGTCCATGTCTCTGTTTGTCTATGTGCGTCTGTATCTATGTGTGTCCGTGTCTGTGTGTGTCTATGTGTGTCTATGTGTATCTGTGTCTGTGTGTGTTTATGTGTGTCTGTATCCATGTGTGTCCGTGTCTGTGTGTGTCTATCTATGTGTGTCCATCTCTGTGTGTGTCTATGTGTGTCTGTGTGTGTCCATGTCTGTGTGTGTCTGTATCTATGTGTGTCGTGTCTGTGTGTGTCCGTGTCTGTGTGTGTCTATGTGCGTCTGTATCTATGTGTGTCCATGTCTGTGTACGGCTGTATCTATGTGTGTCCGTGTCTGTGTGTGTCTGTGTATCTATGTATGTCGTGTCTGTGTGTGTCTATGTGTGTCTATCTGTGTGTGTCCGTGTCTGTGTGTGTCTATCTGTGTGTGTCTGTATCTGTGTGTGTCTGTATCTGTGTGTGTCTGTATCTGTGTGTGTCCATGTCTGTGTGTGTTTGTATCTATGTGTGTCCATGTCTGTGTGTGTCTATATCCATGTGTGTCCGTGTCTGTGTGTGTCTATGTGTGTCTATCTGTGTGTGTCCGTGTCTGTGTGCGTCTGTATCTATGTGTGTCATGTCTGTGTATCTGCGTGTTGGGGCGGTGCCCGTGTGAATCCTTTCCACCTTGGTTCCAAGGATTTAACCTGGATGTCAGCTGGGGAGGGGGCGGCCAAGAGCAGGTTAGATCCCGGCTCCCGGCCCAGCTCTGCCCTAACCAAGGCCTTGGGGAAGCTGCAGTTTCCCTCTGAGCCTCAGTTTCTTCCTCTGCAAAATGGGGGCAGTAATCACCCACAAAGAACTGCCTGTGCCTGAAGACGCCAGTTCCCAGGGGGTGGGAGAGAAGGGGAGAGAAGCCCCAGCCCCATCTCCAGCCCTGGACACCACTCACTCACTCACTCACTCACTCACAGTTTCTCCTGCAAAGTCAGCTGGAAATATCCCTCCCCTGGCGGGGGGGGGG